CAACGCTTTGCAGGTTAACGGTGATGGTAGTCTAAGTGCAAGCGGGGTATGACCAGTGCAGTAAAGCATGAATTAAGCCTTGAAAACTATGCTTGTGATTGTGGTTGGCTTCGTGTACCTCCATCACTATGTGACTTGCATCGTCCATCTCTTTCACCGTCACCATTCTTCTTCATTCGTTTTCACTCGTGCAATCACGTGCGTCACTTCACTGCGGTTAGCTAAAGTGACGGAGAGTAGACCGTATTGAGAGTATGTCCGATCACAGGAGGATGCGACTGTCAGGTTCCGGGGCCTGGAAAGGACTGCCGGAACCCTGATGTGAGAAGACTCAACTGATACCGCCGCTTACAGAATAATAGCAATACGTAAGTGTGTCATTTAGTCATGTTATTTCTCCCTTGGTGAGTCTACTGCTCTCGGACTTTACTGACACGTCGCCAGAGCAAATGTCGATATCAGAGCCCAGTCTACTGTGGAAGTTTCTCTCACCCGCGTCTATAAGTATTGTAGTCTGAAGAGACAGTGGAGTAAATACGAGCATCAGCTCTCTGTCAACTGCTATACCTTACCTAAACCCTCCACAGTCAAGTGACCGCAGGCCTCGTTGTGAAACAACCCCTCACTAAAATTCACAGCTAATTCTGCGTGCGTGTGAACTGCGTCAGGGAATCTTGTGTGTGTTAAGTTGTTGAAATGTGAAGGGTTGGTTGAAATTCTATCACAACGCTTCTCTGCTTTCATTGAGTTTCTTCTTATCCAAGAAAACGGAGGGAGGTAAATATGAACGGCACGGTGTAGTCACAGAGAAAGTTGCATGTTTATTTGAGAGAAGAACGAAAAAAGGTCAACCAGCATGGCACACCCCACAAGGTCTCTGATGTACTTGTCACATATCTTAAAGCGTCGCTGGTACGGTACCAGGATCAGCCGTGTTTAAGACGGATAAAAAGGTACAGTCGGTTTTGCTGATGCAAATGGTCTCATGAATAAGCCCCTGCGGGAATACTGTGCTTTCGCCTGCTCTGATGACATTGGTGACAACTCTGGCGTCGCCCAAACCATCAAACCTGAACCGAACTCTGAAGGTTCCCTGGAGGGCGTTAAGCGTCTCTGTTCCTCTGGGGTGCAGATGCGGGAAGAAAGGCTTCCCCGCCTTGAGGCTGACCTTGACAATGGTGGACTGGACATCCGTACCGGCGAGAGCTGGGAACCTGGTCAAGTCGGCGATGGCGACGGAGAAGTCCGGGGTATTGACACGGGTGGCACGAGAGAAGTTGATGCGGAAGTCTTTGTTGCGCAGGCCACCACGGACGCCTGTTGCGGTTTTGGTGCCCAGCGAGGGGATGGCGAAGGAGGCCGCTGAAAGTTGGGCCAGAGCGAAGAGGGCAAGCATGGCAAGGGTGGAGAGAGACATTCTGTTGTTGGAGGTGCTTGTGTGTACGGTGTGGCTCAGAGTGTGAGGAAGGCGTGCTTGTGGATGAAGTAGGAGTGTTGGGAGGGGACGGCAGAGACCGGTGGGGGAGGTGGGTTTTTATAGATGTAAGGCATGTGAAAGTCTAGAACGAGGGCATCAAAAGTTCGGAGGCAGTGTGATAGAGATATGGTAGGATTCAACGAAATATGATAAGAAGAGGACCGAAAGGAGTTCGGTCGATTCGAAAGAGGAATGACGGAGCATGTGCGGGAAAAGGACGGAGTCAAAGCAGAAAAATACTGTGCACAGACAACACTACAGTACATGTAACGCACATACTAACACCGCATTTTATGAACATTGTCCTTTCTGTAAAACGATGACAGATCTGGATTGAGTGTTGTGGCTACATAACCGAAGGCGGCGTTTGCTCCTGTTGGGGCTGAGGCTATAGCATGTGTTGCCAATTTGGGAGATGCATGATAGCATTGAAGGCTTTTCCCGCCTTCATCAAACGCCAACTGTCTCTATTGAACAGACAAGGCGGCCGGTGATGTCCCTTTTGATATACACCTTACTGAATAGGGCGCATGTACTATAATGCACAGATTGCTATCCTCACAGCGGGCATTGTACTGTAAATGGACCTCTGTTTAGACCGAGCCTAAATAAGGCTCGGTCTAACAGAGGTTCATTTCGGTCGGTATAGGAGGTGTGGATGGTGGACGCACACTTGCGCGACGAATACGAGACGTTGCCCTCAGCGCAAAGCTGACGTCAGGGCACGAGGCCTGGTCCTTTCGCACGTGAATGATGAAAAAATTGACCGATTTTTCTTGATCTGATTCATTCATCCATTGATGTTTTCCTCGTCATCATTGATTTTCTCTTATTCTCACCACAGTAAAGTAGAGAGAGAAGGAATGAACTTTGCATTATTACTTTGACCAGCAATGCAAGGGATTATTTAATCTCAATTTAGTTGAACCAGTTCGCTCTTTTGGACAGCTGTCTTGGCCTCCTCTTTTTGAAGGAAGTTGGACGCATTACATCCAGTAGAGTGAAATTGAGGGATTGCAAAAGGAGTGACGGGATTAGAAAGCGGTCGGAAGAGAAGGTGCAGCGATCCATACACAGTAACTTGGAGAGTGTCGGCGGATATCAGTTCGCAGAAACCAATGTCAGGAAAGGCCCCGTTGTAATACGAGTACCACGCTAGTTAGTTCATCATGACCGCTGAGCGTTCACTTCCGTAACTACTTCTCCCTTATTAGCCGGCGACTTCGTATTCACATTGCCCATCACATGTTCACTTATCAATGGTCACCAAAACATTTGCCTTCCAGGTCCCACAATCTTTTAACTCGGGCGATTGAGATGAGACAGAGAAACGGGCAGCACGTGCATAGGTCCCATATTCGACTCAATCAGGAACCTCTTAAAACTCTATACAAGTAGTTTGAAGGGTGACAATTGACCGACAAGTCTGTTTCATTCAGTTGAGATTATCCAACAAATTTTGTCATTGCCGTCGTGTTCGAAGAGATTGGGTACCCTGCCTAAAATAAACTTAGGCCTTTACAACTGCCTCATGAATCTCAGGGATGCCTAGTTTAACCTTTTATATGGTCTCATTTGGGTACGTCCTAAATAGGAAGAAGATATTTTATTATAAAAATAGCATGTGAGCATTGACACAACAGATCCCAAGGACTTTCTTGCCTCCAGGGGGGATAATGAGGTGGCGGAGGGGATGGCGGGTCGAGATAAGAAGAAGGCGTCGTTTTGAGTTTGGGAGGGCGGGCGGCTTGAAACGTTGGCGGTCGACAGCAATGACACAGACATGGATATCTAAAATTTCCAAATAAATTGATTTGTTCAAATGATGCGACTTTTTTTTGTCTTGCTGTGCAGCATCCCTTGCATCACGCCTTGTTAACCCCCCAAAAACTTAAATGAATTATAAATATATATAAATCTGGCGTACCTTTCTCGAGCTCAGAAGCAGTACCCAAGGGTATCGTACAGTTGTACTGTAGTCCACAACCATCCACAACTCCATAGATACTTGTATTGTGGTGCAAGATCGATGCCTCTGTTTACTGATTGATGCCTATTGCCTGCCGGGGAGGATAGGGATCTGTGACGGAGGCGAGTGAGGTGATCTAAAAGTGATCTAATTGTGATGTCATACGTGTGCTACGTGTGCACGTATGGCTCTCATGACAGCCATAGACTTCAAAACGAGGTTCCGTGGCTATGGAACCTCGACAGGGCCAATCGCACCGCAGTAGAGAGGATCGATAGACTCGTCGAACCAGGGAAGGCACGCCTATTCGGTACCAATGCCGTCGAGGATACCTTCCCCTTCCCCAAGGTTTACTCTTCTCCGACTAGCTTTCAGCACGTATGGTAGGCGACCTTGCGGGGATAAGATCAACGTCATTCGTGAGCTACTGTACTGGCAATGCTACCGACAGTAGAACGTGTTACACGTTACTTGTATTCATTGTCGATAGTACAATTCACAACAGAACAGTACGCACTAAGCTCGCGCCGCAACCTCACAATTCTCACCAACTCAACAGCTGTCATCTGGTGTGTCTATCGATGAAGAAGATGCGACTCCGGTTTCTTGAGGCCGGCGGCACCAGCCCCTCGCAGTCTCCTACAAACCGCCCGGGCGTCTACGGTACCGCAGCCCATTAATTCCATCATGCCCCGATTTCGGGAAACCCATGTGCGGCAATACCGACAAACGAACGAGCAGCGCAAACAGCGGCAAGCGCAAACAGCGGCTACATACGTAGTCTTTGCGCAAGTCGACCCAACTTGCGCCGCGTCGTCTTCGCGTTCAACCGCGTCACGAGACAACAAGTGGCGTCACCTTGCCCAAACCTGCGTGACTGAGCCCGCCTGCGCAACCGAGCACTCAACATGTTGAATTGCTACGGTACACCGTAATGGACGGTGTAACGCTAGAAGAGCTGCTCAGGAGACATCGCCGTCCTCATAAGAGAACAAGCCCCGGTCGGATAGGCACTAGTCGACATACTAATTAAACGGACACGAAATCTACGATCACTCGTGATGCACTGCATAATCTGCCAGCAACGTGTGGACGGCACGAGCGTTGCTAGAAACAACATGTTCCCATGCCGCCCTCTTTTCCTCTCGTACACACCGCCTGCTGTTTGTGATAGGCGCGCGTGTCCAGCACCCGCCCCCACGAGTCTCCCCATCATCTCACATCTCATCCCCCCGCAACCTCCTTTACTACCAACATATATCGTACAAGAAGCTCTCCCACCCCACCTCCACCGCACCTCCCACCCCCCACCCCCAGGGCTGCTTCCAGTTCTCCGTATAGCTGTTGGCATGTCAAGCTATGTGTCGCCACTCTGCTCAGCGGTTCATGAGACCAGCTGGACCCAACAACTGCGTTACGGAGGAACTCAACCTGGTGGGCGTCGCCGCGATGAGAAAGTGGCCCTTTTCTCGACAATTTGGTAATGATCTTGTATATCTTAGACAGTGCGGCGGACTCGTCTAGTCCTTCAGTAGTAAAAGTCGAGATCCGAAG